TGCATGTGCCCAGGTACTTTCCTCAGGTGCTAAACAGGATGCTGCCTAGGGTGTCCCTTTTCTTATCCATGCTTGTCCCACAGTTCAACTGGGCCAGCTCAGACTCAGCAATTTAAGATGTTACACCCATGAGTCCCTGGCTTCTCTCCACTCCCGATGATGATATTGCTATAGGGCTTTGGCTCCATCATTTCCCACCAGTCCTGGAAGATGGGGTCTCTGGGGACCTCCCAAGAGAATAAAACCCTGTCTGTTTTTTGCTCAAATATGAGGTTTGTCTTTGCTCTTAAATTGTAATCTATTAAAAGACTTTAGGATACAAAATTACTCCTAAACAAAATATTAATATCTGTAGCCTTTTGGAGTGGGGGGAGGGGGAGAACATGCTTTCTTACTAAAGTGTGGCCCGCATCTTCCTTCCTTTTCTTCACATTGCCAGAGTGGGGAAGATAAATGGAACCATGGAGAAATGCCTTCTAGTCTAGCCTTGCATCTCCCTAACCCATTCATGAGCTGATTTCCTAACAACAAATCAGAAGGAAGAGACACGTTTTTCACTTTAGGCATTGTCTGTTTCTATGACCAGTCCCCTTCTTCTCCCTCACAGAGCTGTCCTACTCACCACTAGCAGAGCTCCGGACAGTGGCATCAGGGGGAGAGAGCGCTCTTTGTCTCATCTGAATCTACTGCTTTTATCTAGTATCTTCTCTTCCCATCTGGACCCCTCTGTGATCTCTTATGTGGGACATCAACTAGGAGCCAAGTCTTTTTTAATTTTTTTTTTATTTTATTGAACGCTACCTTTTTTTCTGCTCCCCTCTCTTCTTCTCCCCTCCCCTCCAACAGTCTCCCATGGTCCTCATTCTCCCAATTTACTCAGAAAATCTTTTTCTACTTCCAAAGTAGATTAGAGCCATGTATGTCTCTATTAGGGTCCTTACTGTTGTCTAGGTTTTCTGGGATTGTGAATTGTATACTGGTTTTCCTTGCTTTGTGTCTAAAAGCCACTTATGAGTGAGTACATATGATAATTTTCTTTCTGGGTCTGCATTACCATACTCAATATGATGTTTTCTAGCTCCATCCATTTGCCTGAAAATTTCAAGATTCTCATTATTTTTTTCTGCTGTGTAGTACTCTGTTGTGTAAATGGCTCTATTGTGCTGCCCAGGTGAGGCCCAGGGCCTGCTCTCCTGAGGGTTGCAGCTGCTGTAGGGCAGGGACAGCTCTCTCACCTGCCTGAGGCATCAATGTGTTGGTGTCTCTCGCCCAACCACGCCACCTTGTGGCATATGAGGGGTGGCTGGGTCTCTCGTGCTTGTGTTTTTGGTGCTGGCTCACCCGCACTCTCATCAACAGGGTCAGCTCTGCTGTGCTGTCCAGATGAAGTGCAAGGCCCACTTTCCAAAGCATTGCAGCTGAGACAGGTCAGCTCCCTCACCAACTAGAAGCAGTAGGGGTAATGGGGGAGGACATCTTTCCCTCATGTCCACCACCACACAGCAGACTAGAGAGGCCATACCAGCTATGCCTCTGTCAGGCCCTCAGGGCTGCTTCGCCTGTGCTCCTGTCTTCAGGGCCAACTCTACTGTGCTGCCCAGGCTTTGTGCAGGGTGTACTCTCCTGAGAGCTGCAGCTGCTGGCGACAGGTTGGGTCAGGCGGCAAGGGGTGAGGGGAGGAGGGCATCTTTCTCTTACCCATGCTGCCACATGGCAAGTGAGAGGGGCATGACCTGCTCTCCAGGTCTCACATCCTCAGGGCCAGCTCACCTATGACCTGACAACAAGGGTCAGGTTATTGTGGTGCCCATGTGAGGTGTAGGGCCCTCTCTCCTGAGTGCTTCAGCTGGCGTGGAGCAGGGCCAACTCTATATAGCCCTATCCTCTCTGCTTTCATCAGGGTCACCGACCAAGTCATGCCCTCAGCAGGAGCCCAGACCCAGACATCTGGCCCTGGATGGCAGTAGGACACCTGCCGCAGCCCATTCCTCATTGTTCTTACCGCTTTGAATCTGCCTCTCTCCCATATGCGCAACTCTTTCCGCCTCTCCCTCTCTCCCGTATCATCATTTTGTACCTACCCACTTCTAGCTGAACCCTGCCCCTGCCCTGCCTGGCATGGTGGGGAGCTGTTGCTGTTACTGTAACCTGGCCGGGGGCTAGAGCTCAGGTTTCATCTCTTACACAGTAAGATTCAGCGGGGAATGTAGTTCATTTCTAGTTCAATTACTAACAGGTTCAAGTCCGAGAATGGCATACAGTCTGGTGGGGTAGTGCACCCCTCCTATGCCAGCATTCACCTGTGAGCCCAGCATTCAGTATATGAGGGTAAGGAGTATCAGAAGTTCAAGATTACCCTTGTCTACATAGGAAATATGAGGCTTACCTGGGCCAACAATAAGATACATTCTGAAGTCGTCTAGAACAGTATGTTTCAGTGAGACAGAGCAGAGAGTAAGAGACATCCGTGGGCATGTAAGAAGTTGATGCATGACAGATCTCTCTTTACAGATCAGTGAGAGGGTTCAGTGGCTTGCAGGATGGGCTGACTACCTGTATCAGGGTGTAACCCCACTCCTGTTTCACCTCTAGCTCTGAGGCTGACTTAAATGTGGAAAGTTAAGCTAAAGACAACAGACACACATTTTCACTTGCCCGTCAGTATCTGCACAGGACTCACACTTCAGAGTGTGTGAGCACAATGGCCAGTTGTTCTGTGAGACTGGCCTGGCAAAGGGAGGAACTCAGATAATTGTGAATTGGTGAAAATTCATTGCACAGTTAGGATTTATATATTCTCTATAGGTCTGTTATCCTTCGCAGAAAGTCCCCAAAAGCAGTTGGATTTTAGAAACTTTTTTTTCTAGTGTACTGATAATTTTATTTGTTTTTCCTCCTCTTTTTTCCCTTTCCTTCCCTCCTCTCCTCTTCTCCCCTTCCTTGTCCTTTTCTCCCCTCCCCTTCCCCCTTCCTCCTTCCTCTTCCTCTTTCCCTCCTCCCGCTTCTCCTCTCTTCTTCTTTTTTCTTTTCTTTTTGGGATGGATTGTCAATGTATACCAGGCTAACTTTGAACTCACTCTATGGTCAAGGAGGACCATGACCATGAACTTTTGATTTGCCTTCCCTACCTCCCAAACCAAAGGCTGTAGTTACAGGTACATGCTGCTGTACCTGGCTTATGCTGTCCTGAGGTTTCATACATGCCAGGGAAGCACTCTGCCAACTGAGATACTCCCCTAATGCCCAACATAGGCTTTTTGCTTTTGATATGTTCATGCATATATGTATAGCATGAGTATAGAGGTCAGAGGTCAACTTTGGCTGTCAGTTCTCAGGAACCTCCCACCTTTTGTTTGGAAGAGACTCTGTCATTGGGCTTGACCTTTACCAAGTAGAAGAGGCTAGACAGCATTCAAGCTGCCTGGGGTCCCTGTCTTTATCTTCTGTCCTTCCATTTCTGGGATTACAGGAACATGCCTCTGTGTCTAGATTTTTAGGTAGGTTGTGGGGAGAATTGAAGTTCAGGTTCTCCTGCTTGTGAGACAAACACTTCACCGAGCCATTTCCTTTTTATTAATTGATTTCTGCTGCCATATTTTGTAGCTTGGTCAAGCTTTCATCACGAACCCCAAAGACTGAGTAGTTTACAACAGAAATTAATTTTCTTGGTGCTTCGGAGACTGGAAGTCTGAGATCCAGATGTGGCATGGTTGGTCTCCAGAAGCCTCTACGAGTGTTTTAGAGACAGTGGTCTTCTTTTGATGTCTCTACAGATGTTCCCCTCCAGCTCACAGGAACAGCAATCCCACTGGTTTAAGATTCAGGCCTACAACTTTATTTCAGCTTAAACATGGTCTCATTCAGGGCTGCTATGAGTTCTAGCTTTAGTATATGAATTTTGGCTGACACAGTTTGGCTAGGACAGATGCACTCCCTTAGGGGATTATCTGATAGATGCACACCCTTAGGGGATTATCTGACAGATGCACTCCCTTAGGGATTATCTGACAGATGCACTCCCTTAGGGATTATCTGACAGATGCACACCCTTAAGGGATCATCTGAATCTTGTGGGACTCCTTGATCCTCAGGTATTTTCTACATTGCTGAATTTAGATTGCCAAGATTTTAGTTAAGATTAAAAAAAATTCATGTCCACATTTAACTTTGTTTTCTGTTTTATTTCCTGCTGCCATCTCCAGCATGTTTAAGTATTATGGTTATAACAGGTCTCCAAAATGAGATAGGTAATTTTGCTCCTTGTTTGATTCTGTAAAACAATGGCCCCAAGCTCATTTTACACGTGTCTTGGAGGCTTGGTGGGACTAAGCACTAAAATTCCATCAAAGGTGAGAGGCAGAGCAAGAGGAGAGCTCATAAGGGTGGATGATGAGGAACAAGACCATGGGTATATTCTCTATACAAGGGTCCAGTTTCCAGCCCCTCAAAACACAAAGGAGTAAACAAAACGAGCTGAGTCGAGTTCCTGCCCTGCTCAAAGTCCTCCTAAGCTCCACACTGCACTCCAGAAACAGCTCACCATGCTGACGCCCCTCAACTTCCCATGCTGACGCCCCTCAGCTTCCCATGCTGACGCCCCTCAGCTTCCCATGCTGATGCCCCTCAGCTCACCATGCTGACGCCCCTCAGCTTCCCATGCTGACGCCCCTCAGTTTCCCATGCTGACGCCCCTCAGCTCACCATTCTGACGCCCCTCAGCTTCCCATGCCGATGCCCCTCTGCTTCCCATGGTGACGCCCCTCTGCTTCCCATGCTGACGCCCCTCGGCTCCCCATGCTGACGCCCCTCAGCTCACCATGCTGACGCCCCTCAGCTCACCATTCTGACGCCCCTCAGCTTCCCATGGTGACGCCCCTCTGCTTCCCATGCTGACGCCCCTCGGCTTCCCATGCTGACGCCCCTCGGCTTCCCATGCTGACGCCCCTCGGCTCCCCATGCTGACGCCCCTCGGCTCACCATGCTGACGCCCCTCGGCTCACCATGCTGACGCCCCTCGGCTCACCATGCTGACGCCCCTCAACTTCCCATGCTCATGGTCATCAGCTTCCCATGGTGACGCCCCTCGGCTCGCCATGCTGACGCCCCTCGGCTCCCCATGCTGACGCCCCTCGGCTCCCCATGCTGACGCCCCTCGGCTCCCCATGCTGACGCCCCTCGGCTCCCCATGCTGACGCCCCTCGGCTCCCCATGCTGACGCCCCTCGGCTCCCCATGCTGACGCCCCTCGGCTTCCCATGCTGACGCCCCTCGGCTCGCCATGCTGACGCCCCTCGGCTCGCCATGCTGACGCCCCTCGGCTCGCCATGCTGACGCCCCTCGGCTCCCCATGCTGACGCCCCTCGGCTCCCCATGCTGACGCCCCTCGGCTCCCCATGCTGACGCCCCTCGGCTCCCCATGCTGACGCCCCTCGGCTCCCCATGCTGACGCCCCTCGGCTCACCATGCTGACGCCCCTCGGCTCACCATTCTGACGCCCCTCAACTTCCCATGCTCATGGTCCTCAGCTTCCCATGGTGACGCCCCTCGGCTCCCCATGCTGACGCCCCTCGGCTCCCCATGCTGACGCCCCTCGGCTCCCCATGCTGACGCCCCTCGGCTCCCCATGCTGACGCCCCTCGGCTCGCCATGCTGACGCCCCTCGGCTCCCCATGCTGACGCCCCTCGGCTCCCCATGCTGACGCCCCTCGGCTCCCCATGCTGACGCCCCTCGGCTCCCCATGCTGACGCCCCTCGGCTCACCATGCTGACGCCCCTCAGCTCACCATTCTGACGCCCCTCAGCTTCCCATGGTGACGCCCCTCTGCTTCCCATGCTGACGCCCCTCGGCTTCCCATGCTGACGCCCCTCGGCTTCCCATGCTGACGCCCCTCGGCTCCCCATGCTGACGCCCCTCGGCTCCCCATGCTGACGCCCCTCGGCTCACCATGCTGACGCCCCTCAACTTCCCATGCTCATGGTCCTCAGCTTCCCATGGTGACGCCCCTCGGCTCGCCATGCTGACGCCCCTCGGCTCCCCATGCTGACGCCCCTCGGCTCCCCATGCTGACGCCCCTCGGCTCCCCATGCTGACGCCCCTCGGCTCCCCATGCTGACGCCCCTCGGCTCGCCATGCTGACGCCCCTCGGCTCCCCATGCTGACGCCCCTCGGCTCCCCATGCTGACGCCCCTCGGCTCCCCATGCTGACGCCCCTCGGCTCCCCATGCTGACGCCCCTCGGCTCCCCATGCTGACGCCTCTCGGCTCGCCATGCTGACGCCCCTCGGCTCGCCATGCTGACGCCCCTCGGCTCGCCATGCTGACGCCCCTCGGCTCGCCATGCTGACGCCCCTCGGCTCCCCATGCTGACGCCCCTCGGCTCCCCATGCTGACGCCCCTCGGCTCCCCATGCTGACGCCCCTCGGCTCCCCATGCTGACGCCCCTCGGCTCCCCATGCTGACGCCCCTCGGCTCACCATGCTGACGCCCCTCGGCTCACCATTCTGACGCCCCTCAACTTCCCATGCTCATGGTCCTCAGCTTCCCATGGTGACGCCCCTCGGCTCCCCATGCTGACGCCCCTCGGCTCCCCATGCTGACGCCCCTCGGCTCCCCATGCTGACGCCCCTCGGCTCGCCATGCTGACGCCCCTCGGCTCGCCATGCTGACGCCCCTCGGCTCGCCATGCTGACGCCCCTCGGCTCGCCATGCTGACGCCCCTCGGCTCCCCATGCTGACGCCCCTCGGCTCCCCATGCTGACGCCCCTCGGCTCCCCATGCTGACGCCCCTCGGCTCCCCATGCTGACGCCCCTCGGCTCCCCATGCTGACGCCCCTCGGCTCACCATGCTGACGCCCCTCGGCTCACCATTCTGACGCCCCTCAACTTCCCATGCTCATGGTCCTCAGCTTCCCATGGTGACGCCCCTCGGCTCCCCATGCTGACGCCCCTCGGCTCCCCATGCTGACGCCCCTCGGCTCCCCATGCTGACGCCCCTCGGCTCGCCATGCTGACGCCCCTCGGCTCCCCATGCTGACGCCCCTCGGCTCCCCATGCTGACGCCCCTCGGCTCCCCATGCTGACGCCCCTCGGCTCCCCATGCTGACGCCCCTCGGCTCCCCATGCTGACGCCCCTCGGCTTCCCATGTTGATGCCCCTCGGCTTCCCATGCCTTCCTCTCCAACTCTGGAGAGGTTCAAGTACATTGGCACTTACCTCATTCCCAGGCCAATTCCTCTCCCAACCCTAGTACAGTCAGGCAGGAGATCTTCTTGAGGCCTCTCAGACTCTCCCTCTTCCTACAGGCTCAATGAAGCCACTTCCCTTGCTGTCTCCAGTCTCTTGCACCCTGTGTCTCTTCTACCCTTCTGTGGATGTGGTATATAGAACCAAAGGAAATGTGACTTGTGGGTGAGATCCAGTGGTCCACCTCATCGAAACAGTCTTCTCTAAAACATGCCGGCCTTTGTCTTGAGTGACTCTCAAAGTCATGTCTCTAGTTCAACTTGTTTGAGAGTGAAGTGGAGGCAGACGGTCATGCTGCTCCTGAGGTCTAGAGGAGATGCCCCTTCCATTGTTCACGAGTTTGCTGAGCCTCTCAGGTGTCCTCAGAAAGGGTTTACAGCCTCTACCCTCACTGCCACTTGTCTGCTTTCTTTCTCCCCTGAAGGCCTTTGGAAATCTTCTTAGCTTGGTCTTGAGATCCAGGAACATTTACCTCTAAGAGAGCCTGATATTATCCTAGAGATATTAGAGACAGGGAAACTGAGACCCAGAGAGGAGGTGGGTCAGGACCTATTTCCAGAGGAGGCAGAGGAGGGAGCAGGGATCTTGCCTCCAGGCAGAGACTCTTCTGCTAGTGTTTGTTGCACGACTACTTGCCATGTTGGTCCCCATTTCCCTGCATTATCTCTTCCTCTATCTCACTCTACCCTCTTGCCATGAACTGGATCTCTCCCCGTTTATGTATTGAAGCCCCAGGTGACTGATGGAGATAGGGCCTTTATAGAAGTAATTAAGGGCAGGAGGCCTTGCCCAGTGGAATGCTGGAGTGTCAGAGAGACTACTACCATTGGCCAGTCTCCATCCCAGGGTGTGCATCAGGTAAGGAAAGTTCTGTGGAAACTACAGTGCCCTGTGCAGGTCAGCTGGTTCTCTTCTCCTAGGATGCACTGTTGAGCCTCAGAGGTCTTGCAGAGGGCTCACACCCACACACCGGTTCCAAGAAAAACGAAGCAGTGGGGGCTCGTGTGGTTTCCTGAGTCACATTGGCCACTCTTGCCAAGTATTCAAATCCTGCGGCTAGAGGAGCCTAGCCACGCTCTCTGACTATTCTGCTGCTGCCTGCGGCCTCAAGCTGTGAGGTGCATGAGGTTCTCTCTGGTCTAGAAGAGAGGGCATGAAGATGGTGTTCAGGATGGTTCCACTATTGGGCAGTGGAATTTCTAGGAAATAAATGGGGAGCTTGGGAGGGATGGGATGCTCTGGTCTGGGAGAGAAAAGGACACCCACTTCTGACTGGAGAAAACCAAAGAAGGGCTGGAGGAAATTAGTAAGTGGATGTGAGGTGAGAATTTAAGGCATTTCAGGATCAGAGGGCAGAAAATAAAGAGGAGAAAGGGGAAAGGAGGACAGAGGCAGGAGGCAAAGTCTCAGATGGTGCCACTACTGGGAAGTCTGTGCTGGCTTGGTTTTTTTTCCTTTTTTCTTTTTTTTGGGTTTTTCAAGACAGGGTTTCTCTGTGGCTTTGGAGCCTGTCCTGGAACTAGCTCTTGTAGACCAGGCTGGTCTCGAACTCACAGAGATCCACCTGCCTCTGTCTCCCAAGTGCTGGGATTAAAGGCGTGCGCCACCACCGCCCGGCTTGGTTTTCACTTTCATTGCCACTCAGAATGCCAGGGAGAAAGGAGGTAGAGGGAGGAGGCAGTCCCAATTCAGCAAAGAGCACATAGGAGAGGGTTATGTTCTTGGCTGGGGTCTAAACAGCAGCCATTTACCTTCGACACAGCTCTGCTCTGAGGACAGAAGACCAGGATCAAGAACCTGCATGGCTGAGAGCTTTAAAAACTCAGAGAGATTCGTTGGTTGCCAAGCTGAGGCCTCACCTCTGGCTTTGTTATCTGCAAGTCATTGTGTACGTGTGTGCTTGCGTATGTGTGCAAGTCGGTGTGGATGCACACGCATGTGGATCTGTGCATGTGGAGGCCAGAGGACAATCGTGGCTTGTTTCTTTTCAGTCACAGTCCATTTTCTTCCATTTTTGAGGCGTTTTCTACTATTTTAGAATCCCCCAAATGGCTCAGGCTTGCTGTTAGTGTGTCCCTGGGACTCATGTGTCTCTACCTTCCATTACTGGGAATGTGAACATACGCCACCACATCCAGCTTTTTAATGTGGATTTTGGGGACTAAACTCAGGTCTTCATGATTGCAAGGCAAACAGATTGCCAGTGAGCATTCCCTTGGGGCTTACTCACACGTGGAGTAGAAGAATTTTCATTCTTCAGTGTCACTGCTGGGCCCTCTTCATCAGGGCTGATGCTCAAGTGAACAGTACCTACTGCTGTACTGACTGGAGGTCTGAACCTGGGTAGCTCTCACTCCAAAGCCAATAGCTTCATGAATTTGTCTGGGGGAATGATTGGCCTTTGAACCCTAGTTCTTCCTATTGTCTCTGAGGAACTTCCCGATAGGCACTGATCTGGGCTTTGTCATCTTGTCAAAGGGGTTTCCAATATGGAGAGCCAGCATCTCCATCATCATTCATGCTTAGTACCACTCTCTGAGTGCTTACTGTATGCTAAGCACTGTACCAGATACGCTATGTGCTGGAGGCTCTGGTCTGAAATATGTCCCCCATCTTCAATTCATGTGCTAGAGTGCTAACCTTGAGGGTATGACTCAGAGTATGACGGTTTGGATCTAAAATCTTTTAAAGAGGTGCTTAAGTGGAATGAAGTCTTAAGTCTGAGTTTGGAAAGGGGTGGGTCTAGGGAGCCCAGGAAGGTGGCAGGGTTCTTTGCCTGGAGAGTGCTGACTTCCAGACCTTAGGTTAAAGGAAAGAGCTTGTTAGAAGAGGCACCCGAGAAGGGGTTGGTTCT